CTGGTAATAAGCTGTAAATCAGGTCTTCCTGCCGTGGTTTGTTTTTTACCACCCCAGCGCTTTTTCTGTAAAAATGTATTCCTAAGTAGCCTTGATCCCCCCCCACCTTGTTTATAGGAGGGGGGCGTTTTCCCTAATTGTCTTTTCTGACTAATAACTGCTGAGAATGGCTTCTGGGCCAGGCTGGTAATAAACTGGTAATAAGCTGTAAATCAGGTCTTCCTGCCGGGAAAGTGAAATCTGCCAATTCCTTGGGGCAACAAGAGAAAGGCAGAAAGTACTTGGCTCTGAAGAGGCCCGAGAAATGGTCTGGCACTAGCCGCTCGAGCTGGGTCCCCTGGGCTACTGTATTTCGATGAGTGTTATTTCACACGTACAATGCCCTGTTCCAGAATTAATACACAAATCCATCTTGAAAGAGCAGGAGACCTGAGGGTGTGCTGGGTTAGGTGCTGGGCTTCTAACCAAGAGGTCACCAGTTCAAAAGCGCCCACCACTGGAAGGGAGAAAGATGACATGGCTCTATTCCCACAAGAGGGACAGTCTCAGAAACCCACAGAGGCAGTTCCACTCTGTGCTGTAGGGTCACTAGGAGTCAGAACGGACTTGGTGGCTGTGCCTTTGGTTTGGAGCTGTTGTCCTGGAGGAAGTACATCTGGGATGTGCCTTCGAAGTGAGGTTGGCAAGACTTCACCTCATGTAATTTGGACATGTAACCAGGGAGAAGAACATCACGTTTGGTCGAGGGTCAGCTAAAAAGAGGAAGCCCCTCAATCGGATGGATGGATGCAGTGGCTGTGACAATGGGCTCAAACATCCCACGGATAGTGAGGGCGGTGTTTTATTCTGTTGTACCTGGGTGGCTATGAGCCAGACAGTGCTGACTCGATGGGACCATCCCCCACCCCAGCCCCACCCCCCACCCAGGGAACCAAAATAAATGTGTACCAGTTGGGGGAGAGGAAACAAGGGACCAGGTACGGCGGGGGTGGGGGGTGGGGCAGAAAAAAACCAACAACATTGAGATTGCAGGGACCAACATCTATGAAGTCCTTAACATCCTGGTTAACCTTGTAAATGAGGTATTCGTGGACAATATCCAGTGGGCAGATCTGTCTCATTTGGCACACACAGTGCTGGACTGCAGAGTTTTAAAAACTTTTGGAAAAGAAAAAAAAAAAACTTTTGGAAAAGGATTTTGACTTAGAAAGAAAGTGGACATAAAAATCCAGACTTCAGGCCTCTTTTGAAAGCTGGAAGATCTCCCATCCCTGTGTGCTTGACCCTTGAAGAGCAGCAGTAGGTCAGCCAATGGGGCATGACCTCTCCAGCCCGCCCTCTGGACAGCATGCTACTGAGACCAGGGATTCGTGGCCTTTATCATTACACGTATGCTGCTTGTCTTTCTTTCTTTCTTTCTTTCTTTCTTTCTTTCTTTCTTTCTTTTAAAATCATCTTATTGGGGGCTCTTATAGCTCTTATCACAATCCACCCATCCATCCATCCATCCATCTATTGTGTCAAGCACCTTTGTACACATGTTGCCATCATCATCATTTCTTTCTACTTGAACCCTTGGTATCAGCTCCCCACCCCGCTCCCTCCCTCATGACCCCTTGATAATTTATTTAAAAAATGTTACATGCCTTACACTGACTGCTGTCTCCCTTCACTCATTTTTCTGTTGTCTGTCCCCTGGGAGGGGGTTATACGCCGATCATTGTAATTGGTTCCCTCTTCCCCTCTTGGTATCGCTACTCTCATTATTGGTCCCGAAGGGCTTATCTGTCCTGGATTCCCTGTTTCCAGCTTTTGTCTGTACTGTATACATGCTCTGGTCTAGCAGGGTTTGTAAGGTAGAACTGGGGTCATGATAGTGGTGGGGGAGGAAGCATTAAAGAACGAGAGGAAAGTTGTGTGTTTCGTCGGTGCTATACTGCACCCACTTTTCTCCTGGAGGACTGTAATGATTGGTTGCTTGCTTGCTTTTATCCAAAAATGGGGAAATGAAAGACCAGAAGGTCCATGTATCTCAAGGAAAATGGGAGGAAGAATAGTTCTTTGTGGCTCAAAAGACTATTTCTACGCCAACTCCTTTCACTCGGCTGAGTTACCTGCCTGGCCTCTGAAGGCAGCCCTTGTGAAGCTAGATGTGTGGACAGGATGGATTTGGTATCAGATGTAGACTAAGCTGATGTAACAAGTAGACGTCATAGGGCAATGGCTGAAGCACAGTAGAAATATATTCCTCTCTCGCTTAAACAGTCTATGGTAGGTATTTCAGGTCTGTGGGTGACCCTCCTCTAAGCAGTGATTCAAGAATCCAGGGTCCTGCCATCCATCTGGGGGTTCTGCCACCCCTATGGTCACATCATCTTGGGCAATAAGGTAGCAGATGGGGAGCCAGGAGACAAACTTCACCCAAACCACTCACAACCCCCAGGGCTGTACTAAATCACAGGAGGGACCAGGAGATACAGTCCTCTTAGGGCTGACTCTCCTTGGCTCTGATTTTGTGAAGAAGAGATTTTAGAATGGCAGGGAGCCCCCTTCAGAGACTCAAATCGACCCTGGGTTCTCCCTAAGCTGAGTAGTATGCAGGCAAGAGGTTCCTGGACTCACGCGCCTCCCTTCAGTTTCGTGCAGGCATGGACATATTGGAGAAGATCATCTCCTTAGGCCAGTTCGTCTACAACCAGTGTGAAGAGATGAAGTACTGCCAGCGCCAATGTCAGCGCCTGGGGAGCCGCATCCAGGGCCTGCTGCAGCCTTTGCAGGTGCTCCAGGCCCAAGGAGCCGGGAACCTGTCTCCACAGCTCACCGCCGCCTTGTGCCGTTTGCAGACAGCCTTAACCGAAGCTAAGATGCAGATGAAAACGTTTAAGAACAAATCCAATATCCTGAAGTTCCTAAGAGCGAGGAATGTCACAATGCTCTTCAAAGAGGTGAACGAGTGTCTGAGAGATGCCTCGGAGGAACTCTCGCTGCTGCTGCTGGCCAAACAGCGGATCTTTGTTCCCAGCTCTTCCCAAAGAGAGTCCTGGCGAAAGGAGGATCAGCAGGACGCAGAGGAAGACTGGGGTATGTCTTAGGGTGCTCTTTGATTCCTAAAACAACAGGAAGGAGGCAGAGGTGTCAGCAGCTCTGCATGAGGCCCAGGACCCTGGGGGGGCCTCCTCAGTTCTTGGGGTGCCATTGAGGCCAGGTTCAACTCACAGTGGCCCTGTGCTGAGGGTCGAGCTGCCCCACTCCGATTTTTAGGCTGGAACCTTTTGTGGGTTGGAACAGCCTGCTACGCCATCAGGAGCCAAATGCTTTCACTGTTGTGCCACCAGGATTCTCAGCAACTAATCTGAAAAGTTGGGCGCTTCAAAGATGTCACAAGGGCCAGAGGCCTCATCTGCCGCTGTAAACATGGCCCCTAGGAAACCTCCTTGGTGCAGTTCCACTCTTTAACACCAGGGGTCGCCAAGAGTCGGAATCGAAGGCCTCCTTTGGACGTGTGGCCAAGCACTGAATATCCAAGGCCCATTTACGGTGGGGGCTGCTGACATTTAGGCAAAACTGAGGGGGCAGTGAATGCTTCCTTAGCCTCTGCCTCCCCCTTTGATATACAATGGCTGGAATTCTCCCAGCTGAGTCCCTCTAAGGGAAGAAGAGGACTGGTCCCCAGCCAATCGGCGCTCCTGGGTCTGCTTTCTAATGGGGTTGCAGACACACTTAGGCCCATCAACCTGGGACATAGCATTAGCTTCCTGCACTTACTTGCTTCGACAAAATCTTTTGAAAACATTTTTTCATTAGGTAACAGATTCACCCTGGACAAAATTTAAAAGGCACAAACAGGGCACAAAGTGTCAACCCCCCTGTGAACCTTGACCTCAAGCCCCCCCCCCCTTCCCCTCCAGGCAACCTCTCCACCAGTTTCCTGAATTGCTCTCCAGAAGGCGATTCCTAGACAAACTTCCAAGAAGCAGGGTTAGTGGGTCCATTGCGCATCTTGATAGAGGGGGTCTGAGCCTCTCCACAGCGTTTGGACAGATCCCCCTCCTACCGTCACAGGGTGACGCAGGGTGTTTCTCATGACCTTGTTCCCATTAGAACCTCTCTTGGGTTTAGCAGTGCAGATCCCCTATCTGGGGAACCTCTCAGTCCTAGGGCAAAGTGGGATGCTTGGTCACCGTACAATAGAGTGTCATGAGATTTTAAAACTATTTCTAACTTGGATTTGATATGGAAAGCACAAATAGAAGAGGACGGTGGAGACAGAAGGAAGCCAGACTGAAGCGAAAGGAAGAATGATTTCTGAGCAAACAGCCAGCCAGGGTGGGAAGAGAGAAAGACAAGAGAGACAGAATGAAGGAAAAAATAAACAAACAAACAGAACATTGTTCCTGAGCTCACCTGAAGCCCAATCTATTTTTTGTTCTAAACTAGACAGACAATAAAACTTGATAATAAACACTCTTCTTATGGCCAAAAAAAAAAAGATAAGTCAGGATAGGTTAGATTCTAAAAATTTCAACGCCTTAAGGAAAAAAAAAGTTGATTTTCATTGAGGCATATATAGTCCAGGAGACTTTCCAAGGCAGCTGTCCTGTGTGGGTTAGCCTGCCAGGATGCATGTCATACTTTCACACTTCTTTGTTGACACGACTTCCCGGGCCCCCCAAGCAGTCAGTTTAGAGCCCTAAACAAAGTCAATGCAATGCTCCTAATGGGAAGTGGTGCACACCTGATTGTTGGTTTGGGCCAAAGCAAGTCATGTGCCCAAGCCTTTCACACTATCTGTGTGCTTTAGAAAGCTGGGTCTTGACAAGCAAGAGTAGTTCCCGTCATAGTGAATAACACAACAGGTCAGACGGTGCCCCATGTGGTTCATTCGCATTACTATTTCTGACTATTTGCTGTCCTTTCACCTGCAGGAAAGGACAACATCAACTGTTTACTGGAGCAGCTGGAAAGCATCATTCAAACTTTGAGGCAATGTAAGTTATGTGCTGGCAGCTTCCGCTTGTGCCCTGTCTAGAAGTCACTCTACTTACCAGACCCCCAGGCTCCTTCCGCCTGCCTTTGTGTGACTTCTGAGCCAGGAATAGGCGTAGAGAGAACTTGGAAGTGAGAGATGGGTGGGATGGAGGTGAAGGGTCAAGAGAGAGGTGGATTTGGAGTGGAGGGAAGTTCTTGACATGTTTGCTAACCCCACAGCCTTGTCCTTGCTGGTCACCCCAAGGCATTCGAATCACTCCCCCAGCTTTGGGTCATGGTGTAGAACCCACTCACTAGCATGACGATGCCTCTTCCCTCATCTCATCGACCCTTTATTCCTTCTCTCCTGGGGCGGAGTTAGGCTTGCAGAAGCCCATGAAGCAGTTTCCCCAAGAATACATCAGGGAGATTAAGAAGGAGCAGCTCTCAGGGTCCCCGTGGATAGAGCTAAGGAAAAGCGAATCCAGCATCCTGTATAAAGGAGAATACAGCAAATGTCCCGTGACCATAAAAGTGTTCAACAGCTCGCAGTCCAGCACTGGGTAAGTCCTTCTGCAGAGTTTGCTCCTGTGCATCACTGCACTTACTCCTTGCCCGACCCTGTCTCCAGGTTTAGGAGGGGAACTCAAGAGCCTGCAGGGTTAAATTACTTGCCCTCTGCTATTAAGAAGCAAACAAGTCTTGATTGTGTCATGATTAAGTGTTAGGCTGTGATCCACATGGTCAGCAGTTCAAAATCACCAGCAGCTCCGCTGGAGAAAAACTGGGCTTTCTACTCTTGTAAATAGAGGCTCCGAAACCCACAGGGACTCATTCTGAACCAGCACCGACTCGATGGCAATGACTTTGGTTTGGGTTATTAGCAGTAAGCCCCCATTCAGCTATGTCCCCACACTCCCAGATCTATGGAAGGACTCATCTACTTTCGGTTTTCTATGGATTCGCCTGCTCTGGGTAGTTCATGAAGGAGCCATGGTGGTATGGTGGGTTAAGTGCTTAACTGCTAACGACAACTGCGATGGAGTCTTTTCCAATTCCGAGTGACCCCATAGAGCAAACCGTCTAGGATAAGGTGACCAGACGTCCCGACTGTCCCGATTTTTAACAACTTGTCCCGCATCCCGCGGCATTTTAAAAAAGTCCCGATTTTTGGAAAGAATGCAAGACAAGCTAGGAAACGGCGGGAGAACGGGAAGGGAATATACGGTTTTCGGCTGCCATGTGGCTATTTCACCAGGATATGAGTTTTATATTATTTTTGTTAATTTTATGCTAAACTTTGATAATAACAAATAATTGTTGAGAACTGATTATCGAGAACTGCTTAGCAAAGTTCGCATTGTTGATCAGTTGTTAGAATTCGACCACCATTGTTTGGACTTAATGAACAATGGCATTTGTTTGTTTGTTTGTTTGTTTGTTTGTTTGTTTGTTTTTACAATGGCATTTTTTGGCATTGGCAACGATGAAAACATTTTGTAACTGTCTCTCAGACAATACACATCGTACTGTGTGCTAGTTAAACAAGTGATGTCAACAAATTAGCTGTTCAGATAATTTAAGTAAGTGACTTATTTATTTATTTCCTAAATGCATACATTTCCTTGAATTTAGCAGACCATACTGGAATGATGTGCAAAAATCATTCAATCATATTGCTCACCATTTCCCATATAGTAATATTTCCAAAAATGATCTTTTTAATGAGGTATCATTATTTAAAATATATATTGATAAGGAAAAGGTTAAATCTTGGGCATCGGCAAAAAATCACAATAGAGAACAAATGGTTAGAAATATTTCATCATTTTGAAACAAACCATGTTCCATACAATAATGCACTAAAAATTGTGGAATACGCACTCTGTCCTTACCAGGAACTAATGCTATGACTGAATGCGTTTTTTCTACGGTAAATAAAGTATGTACATCAGAAAATTCACAATTAAGTGTTGAGACTTTGAAAGCTAATTTATGTGTGAAATATGATTTAACAAATTTCATGACCTTTTAAACAATGACCGCAATCTACTAAAAAAAAAATTCACTCAAATGAGAAATATGCCCAAGAATAAAATAATACTATACATAATTTTTAATGTATTATTTTTGTAAATTGTACTTATGTTGAAAATTTTTAAATATTACAATACTATTTTTATGTTCTATGAAAATTTTTGTTGCTCCATATAGACCAAATTTTTAATCAAGGACCCCCACCCCGGTCAATGGTGTCCCGCTTTACCAATGTTAAAATCTGGTCACCTTAGTGTAGGACAAAGCTCCTTCGGGTTTCTGAGACTGTACAGCTGGACAGGAGCAGAGAGCCTCATCTTTCTCCCATAAAGTGGTTGGTGAGTTTGCACTGCCTTGGGTCCATGCATGGCCCAATGCTTAACCTGTTGGGCCACCTGGACTCCTTGGCTAGAGAAACATACAAACAAACTTGCAGCCACCAAGTCAGGCCGGCTCATACCAACCCTATAGGACATAGTAAAATAGCCCCTGTGGGTTTCCAAGACTAACACTCTTTAGAGGAGTAGAAAGCCTCATCTTTCTCCTGCATAGAGCTAACGGGGGACAATTTATTATCTTCTAAGGGTCAACCCATTGGAGAAATGCAACCATTATAAACATGTTTGTACTTTACCATAGCGCTTCAGAACACATGCAGCAAAAATTGTCAGAACTAAAGGGGGGGAACATTTCAGCAGTGCTATTTGGGGACTTCGGGACCACATCTTCAACACTGGCTAGAACAATTAAGCAAACATTAAACCAGGAACTAAAATACTTGAATAACACTGCAAACTAACTAGACCTCAGGGACATTATCACACACTGTAGCCAACAGCAACCGAATATACATTCTTCTCCAGGGGACATGGATCATTCTCTAGGATAGAGCATCTGCTAGGTGGTAAAACTGCGTGAAAGGATGGAAATCGGGCAAAGCAAGGTCGTTCCGCATGGAATGAGACAGCAGGAAGATATTTTTCTATTTCTTCTTGCCAAAAATGTCAGCATTTGATATTGCTCCAGAGCCCCCACCCCCACCCCGCTAGGCTTTCAATGTATTATCTTCTTGGTCACCACTGGTTTTGTATTGTTAATTATGTGGTTATTTTTTTCTCCTCTAGAGCATGTTTTGTTGGTTTATGTCTTAGACCATTTTCTTTTGATCACTTTTTCCAGGGGGCTATCTTACTAGTATTTCCAAAGAGCCAAAAGCATGCATATGTTTTCAAATAATTTGTCAAATATTTTGAAGCTGTTATCTACTTTTTTTATTTGTACCTCTTTATTATTTTCTACACTTTGTTTCTGAAGTCCAAGTTTATCTTTAATATTTCTTACTGCTGAGCAAATATATCTAAACTAGAGATTTCCATCCCACTTCTTCCTGACGTGTCCCCAATATAGTCTGACATTTGGTCTTTACATCATTCAATCCTAAGTATTTCTTAGTTTCCCTGATGATCTTGTTATCGATCCAGAGATTATTTAGTAGTTATTTATTTACTTAACGAGTATACACGATTTCTTAGCTCTTTCTCTGTAATTAATTTTATTGCATTCACATTAGAAAAGATAGTTTAAAAATAGATAGTTTAACTATATTGATACTTTGGAACTCACTTCCCCCCCCCACTTTGACTCAGTGCATTGTGTGTTTTTAGAAATGGTCCATCTGTGCTGAAGAACAAACTCAGACTTCAACTACTAGGTGGAGTGTTCCCTGTCTATTTAACAGTTCCAGTGCAGGGATATGAGGCTTTGTTATGGTTCATTTCTGAAATCCTCTTCCCCTCTATTTCAGTAATTTCTCCAGGGTTGATTTGGGTGGCTGGAGCCAGCAGCCCATTCTAGTTAGCATCTCTGTTAGATGCTACACCCTCTTCTCTGCACTGATTCAAACTGCTCCCTTGGGAGGTTGGTGCTGGGACCACAAGGGAAAGCCAACTGTCAGACACCAGGTGTGTCTAAACTAAAATCAATTACTGGCAGATAGTGCCAGGGCTGCTTCCTAAATTCCCCCCAGCCCCCACCCCGATGGTTTCCCAACATCTGGTAAAAGGCTTGGGCTATTCCTTTTGAACCCGAGCAGGCATGTCCCTCAGGATTTCAGGGTAAGGGTCGGAGGAGCAGGACTCGACCTTTCACCGTTGTCTCAAGTGTGAGGGAGCAAGTCCTGGAGCAGACAGGGTGCTCCCCGAAGGCAGAAGAACCACAGGACCTGCCCCCACAGCCCTGATAGCCTCTGAAAGAAGGAGCAGGCTGGATTGGGAAGGTGGTTCTCATGTCCCCTTTAATGATTCACCTGCCCTCACCTGAAAGCCTGTGTTATAGAAGAGGTTGTATTTATAAGGTTTTACCTAATAAGTAATATTTTGTTTCCTAAACTTTGTTAATCAAACCAAACAAAAAAGACCAGACTTGCTGCTATGGAGTAGAATGCCAACTCATGGTGACCCTATAGGGCAGGGTAGAACTTCCCCTGTGAGTTTCTGAGATTAATGTTTATGGGAGTAGAAAGCCCCATCTTTTTCTCCCTCCTAGTAGCTGGTGGTTTTGAACTGTGGACCTTGAGGATCACAGCCCAATGTATAACCACTATGCCACCAGGGCTCCTTTGTTAATCAAAGACACATCAACTAGATTAATGGAGCATCAGTCAAATAAGATGTGATAGTCTAAAACAAATATAGAATTGACATTTTTGTTTTTCTAGAAAGCTTTATATCCCCCCTTCCCCAAAATCCAATTCTACATACCCACAATATAATAGGGTAGCTATTATATAATGCAAGGAGCCTTGGTGGCATAGTGGTTACCTGTTGGGCTGCTAACTACAAGGTCAGCAGTTCAAAACCACCAGCTGCTCCACAGAAGAAAAGTGGGCTTTCTACTCCCATAAAGAGTTAGTCTCAAAAAAAAAAACAACAAAAAAAGAGCTAGTCTCAGAAATCCACAGGGGCAGTTCTGCCCTCTCCTATAGGGTCAATATGCGTTGGCATCCACTCAATGGCGGTGAGTCTGGTTTGGGATATGGTGCTCCATATGGTGCAGCCAATGGGAAAAATGTGGTAACTCCTTAAAAAGTTAGAAACAGAATTACTAAATGATCCTGCAATTCCACTCCTCAGCATATACCCGAGTGCTTGGAGGCAAGGATTCAAACAGATGGCTGTACACCAGTGCCCTCCATTGCAGCCTTACTTCCAATAGTTTAAAAAAACAACAACAGAAACCACCCAAGTCCATCAAAAGATGAATCAAGGCAATGTACAAACATACGAAGGAATACTATTCAGCCATCAAGAGAAATGTAGCCCTGATATATGCTACATCATGTGTGAACCTTGAAAACATGCTGCTGGGTGAAATCAGTTCGATCTAAAAGGACACATATTATCATTTTACTTATATGAAATACTTAAAATAGACACATAGTAAGAGACCAAAGTTTATTAGTGGTTGCCAAGGGTTGGGGGAATTGGGGAGTTATTGCTAAAGGGGTACTGAATTTCTGTTTCAGGTGAGAAAACTTTTGAAACTATGTAATGGTGATGTCACACAGCATTCTAATGTCACTGAATCATACACATAAACACGGTTAAAATGTCAAATTTACAAGAGCTGTAAGAGCCCTCGATCAAATACTTTTTAAGTGTCAAATTTCATGTACCGTGTTTATCTTAGCACAATAAAATTGTATATAAAAGAAAAAAATAATTATAAATTCAATTCTACAAGGCTGTTCAAAATCCTGAAAATGATCGGTAAGCCCCATTACTATCTTCCCTTCGCTGATGAATCTTAAGCTCGCAGCTGCCTGAGCACCTCTGCGTATGTACACCCTTCCATCAGTAGCTGGGCTCAGCACAGCACCACATTCTAACCCTGAGCAGATGTTGACAATTCCTCCCCCTCACACACATGCACAGAGTTGGGGGGGGGGGGGCGAGCACCACTCAGTTCTGCATTCTCATTTCCTCTTTTACTCTTATAGACTAGTGAGGAGTACTTTCAATAAGGAGATCAGAACCATGAAGAAATTTGAATCTCCCAACATCCTGCGTATATTTGGGATTTGCATTGATGAGGAAGGTAAGGGGTGCTTCTAGGATTGGCGTTCAGTGACCTGGAGGACATCTACTGTTGGGAGTGTCGTTGTGGTTGTTGTTGAAAAACAGCTGAAGGGGTGGAATCTGCATGGCGTTTTCTTTTCATTGTTAATATATTGCACCCGAGATGTACGTTCCCATCCTTTTTCAGGAGAGCAGGGCTAACGTTGGTCACATCAGCCTGAGAGTTGGTTTGCATTCATGTGAGCCACATCTCCTCTTGCCATTCCACTGAGAGTCAAGAGGGTTCCTGTTTAGATGCCAGCCTGGGGAATGGGTACATTTTGTTGCTGTAAAACCTTATGAAGCAGACTGGTCCAAGGAAGGAGTCCACACTGGCTCATCATTAGTGTAGATCTAACTTAAAAATTAATACCAGAAAGCTATTTAATGTTCAGCAATGGTACTTGGGCATTATCTGGCTTTTCTGGTCTCGTGGCAAAGGAGGCAGCTCACGGAGGACGTAACCACACATTCCATAATTTGCCTGTGTTTCACTGACAGTGCAAAGGTGTTAAACTGTGTGAATCATAATAAATTGTGGCTAACCTTAGAGAGAATGGAAATCCCAGAAAGCTTCACTGTGCTCATGCGGAACCTATACATCACCTGAGAGGCAGTCATTTGAACCGACGGGAGCGATAAGGTGTGATTTCAAATCAGGAAGCGTGTGTATCAGGGTTTTATCCCTTCACCATACTTATTCAGTCTGTATGCTGAGCAAAGAAATAACCTAAGATGGACTGCATGAAGAAGGGTGCAGCGTCGGATTAGCGGAAGATTCATTATCAACTTGCAATCTGCTTGCTGAAAGTGAAGAGGACTTGGAGCGCGTTACTGATGAAAATCAAAGACTACAGCCTTCAGCCTGGATTAAACAATATAAAGAAAACAAACGTCTTCTAAACTGGACTATCATGGTACATGTAGACAAGATTGAAGGATTTCATTTCACTTGGATCCACCATCAATACCCGTGGGGGCAGCAGTCCAGAAATCAAGCGACCTATTGCAAGGTACAAATCTGCTATAAAAGACTTCTTTAAAATGTTTTCAAAGGCAAAGATGTCATTGAATAAGGGGCACCTGACCCAATGTTCAATTGCTTCCTACACACGCAAGCGCTGGACAATGAATAAAGAAAACCGAAGAAGAATGATGTGTTTGAATTACGGTGTTGGCCAAGAATATTGAATATATCACGGGCTGCCAGAAGAATGAACGAATCAATATTGGAAAACATAGTAGAGCCAGAATGCTCCTTAAAATCAAGGATGATGAGGCTTTCTTACATCCTTTGAACATGTTGTCCGGAGAGACCAGTCCCTGGAGAAGGACATCATGCTCGGTAAAGGAGAGAGTCAGACAAAAAGAGGAAGCCCCTCAACAAGATGGATCAACAGAGGAGGTGTAACAATGGGCTCAAACCTATGAGGCTGGGGCAGCCCAGGCCATGTTCTGCTCTGCTGGGCACCAAGTTGCTGGGAGTCAAAGGCATCTAACAACAACAACAACAACAACCAAATGCAAACACTAAATGCACTTGCCCTTTAACCAAAGAGTCCATGTGTTAGGCCCTTTTTCATTTTTCAGTGTGGCTGTATTTTCTCTCCGGGCCTGGACTTTCTCTTCCTGTTCTTACCCTCAGCAAGGACCAATCTACTCTTGTCTGAATCCTTCTGGATGCTTCTCTCCAGCCTCAAGCTGACCTGAGTTTGGAGTCAAATCCCTGTCAATACTAGAGGAAAGCTTTCAGTGATGTTTATTCTCTTGGGGAGCAGCAGAGGTCCTTGACTTTAGGCTTTTGTGTCTGTCCTTCCATCTCAAGCCGATGACCCGAAACGTTGACTTCTTGTCGGGGTTTCCTTATCCAGCCCCTGTCATACAGCCTAATTGTTGCATTGACTCTTCATCTAACGACTCAAACAAATGCAGAATTTTCACACAGCGAATACCATCAAGAAGAATGGTAACCCTGGGGCATTTGGGCCAAACTGGGTGAGATGGTATAGGGATAATAAGGTGGGGAATGAGGCTCACAGCAGAGCCAAGTCTATCTCTGCAGAGAGGCAGGGAGAGGTGGACTCTGAGTCAGGATGGATCTTCTGAGTGTCTGACTCCTTTTCCTCAGAGAATCCCCCTCAGTTCTGCATCGTCATGGAGCACTGTGAACGGGGCACCCTGAGGGAACTGCTGGATAAGGAACCGAACCTGGAATTTGGTGTGCGCATCTTCCTCTCTCTGGAGGCCGCCAAAGGCTTATACAGGTACTAGAGCGGGTGGAGAGGGTGCCAAGAAGAGTTGGTTGAGACTGTCTCGCCTGCTGATAACCCCAGGGATGATAGAAGCCTTACTTAGCCTCTCTTTCCCCAGACTGTTTTACTTTTGACTCTGATACAGACCTTAGATTAGAGAGGAAAAAGAGTCCTGGCCGAGTGAGCACCACCTCACAGAACTGGTCGTTGAATTTTTTTGCCTAGCTTGCTCTCAAGCAGTGCGACAGGCTCTTCTCGTAGGGTGGCCAGATTTAGCAAATACAAATCCAGACTCCTAGTTCTATGTAAGTTTCCGATACACAACAATGGTTCGTGTAAGTAATCATTGTCGTCCCAATTACTGCCTGGGCTGGAGGTACCGGTGATCAGGCAGAAGCTCTCCCTGGAGAAGGACAGCACGCTGGGTAAAGGACACAGCCAGCCAGAAAGAGGGAGCCTCCTCAACCAGACGGACTGACACGGTGGCTGCCCCAGTGGGCTCTGACATAGCGCGGATTCAGCGGAAGGCACAGGACCGGCAATAGCTCATTCTGTCATGTGTGCACAGGAATGTATCCCAGGTCTTTTCTCCTGCTGTGGACGTGGCTCGTGGGTCCATACCACGGACAGTTCAGTCAGCAGTGGAATGTTTAACTAGTGCGCCACCAGGGCTGCTTTTGCCCCAGACAAAACCCATGGATCGTTATCTATGAGGAAGTCACGGTAGGGGCCAGCCGCCTCTCCCAGTAGTGACCGTCCAGCCCCCTAAGAGATCTGCAACGGGTCCCTGATGCGCTCTGCCTTTGGTCCCAGCCTGCATCACTCCGAAGAACCTGAGCTCCACAGAAACATCACCAGCACAAGCTTCCTGGTCACTGAGAGCTACCACGTGAAGGTGAGCGGGGGGGCCTTTCGTGGGGCCCTTGATCTAACCTGTGTGACTGTTCGGTGCAAGAGGAGGGACACAAGTATCCCCAAAAGCTTTTTCCTGCTGTTTCTCTGCCTCAGATTTAGAGATGACTCCTTCTCTGCCCCCACAGGGGGACAATCACACAGTAGGACTCAATGCCGGCTTCCTGTTCTTAGGCAGAGATGGGCTACAAGTCCCATCTTGTTACACCAGAGGATCTTCTTAGATCCACTTACATATTCGGATGCAAAGAATTTCCTGTGGGCAAACTTGGCAATCAGGGCCACTTCAAAGGATACTGTTCAGAAACAAAGCTTGCCCACAAGCAGCATCAAGCCATCCTTTCCAGTGGGAGTGCTCCCAGCCATCTACACAGTTGCTGTATATACTCGAGTATAAGCCGACCCGAATATCAGCAGAGGCACCTAATTTTACCACAAAAACTGCATTAAAAATGTGCTGAAAAATTTGGTTTATACACGAGTATATATAGTACCAGGAAATCGCTTTGCCCTCTCTCCCCATGTGCAAGGCAAAAGACTCCCATCATACGGTGCAGGGACATGCTGGCCTAAGAACCCTCATGACCCCCAGGAGTTCCCATCTCTTTGAATAGCTCTAGAGGCAATGCTTCCAGGGTCCCTGCAAGGGACAGGCAGGGCCAGTGATAAGAATTACCACCAAGCACAGTATCCTATCAGGTCTGTAGGCCCCTTACGCCCCCTACCCTCCAGAAGTAATTTTCTAATCAGGGGTCGTTTTTTATCATTCGCACTATTGCTTAGACATAGACTGTCTACTTTATCATGCTTCCATGGGAACAGAGCTCAACAGTTCAGCAAGGTTTAGATTTTCACATAGAAGAGGAAAGGGTTTTGGTAAGTCTGCGTCCACCCCTCCCAAAGGTGGAAAAAATAGTGTGTTCTTAGGGTTAGCAGCTGAGCACGTCCCAAGGGCACCACCAGGGCTCCTCAAGGACTCCTTCTAGAGCATTGTCCTGGCCGGGCAGAACCAGTGGGGATAACTCCGAGCCGGGTAGAACAGGTGAGGCACTGACTGCTGACCCAGAGCTGGGCTGTTTGCGCCCCCCACCCCCACCCCCACCCCACCCCGCCTGCTCTGTGACCGGCTGCTTCCATAAGGATTGCAGCCTTGGAGACCCTGGGGGAGGGGCCAGTTCTGCTCTGTCTTACAGGGTTGCTATGAGTTGGAATCTACTTCCGTGGTACTGGGTTTGGTTTTGAGTTTAGGGATTAACACACGAATCGTTGCATAAAATCCAAAGAAACACACTGGCTACGCTCTAGGATCAGATGGTCTGGGTGAATGATGCCCCACGTCACTTCTGCTTCTGAGAGAAAGCCAGCCAAGTGCTAATACCAAGTACCCCTCCACCCTCATCACTCGGACATACACCAGCTACCGCGAAAGCCTGTGTCTAACGCCAGGATGCTAGCAGCAACTTACCAAGTCTCACAGGTGCTTAACCTCCCACGCATGACCTCTTTACGGTCCTTTTCTGAGTTTGAGGGATTGGTGGCTGATAAAGGAAAAAGAGATCAGAACAGAATGGCAGCGTCGCCCCACAAGCTGTTTCCTGGGGCCAGTGCACTGACATGGGCTGCTTATAGAGGGTCCAGGAGAGCGCAGAGCCTTCCTCAGGAGCAAGGTGGAGCCTCTGGGTCGGAGGGCTCCAGAGGTGGTCTTGTCTTCTCCATGCTTAGCAGACACTGGTATACCCTCACAGGGGATGCGACACACATCGGCTCCAAGTGGCTCAAAACAACTGGTTTCTTTAGGTTCTTTTTAAAACACTGGGTGTGTGAAAACTTGAGGTTGGTGCTGAAAGAAACCACCAACCAGAGGCCGAGAGACAGGCCAAAGATGAGTCAAAGATGATTCATTTACATTCCCGTGTAGAAATCTCTGGGTTAAAAAGAGAGAGAGAGAGAGAAATCTCTTGGTCGTTGCACCATAGGAAGGTGAGCACATACGTCATCTCGTTCCAACAGCCACAGAGTTGGACGACATCCCTAAAGTGAAAGGCCATTCCCTAAGGCTCATGGGTAGTACCAATTCATGCCCTCCAACCCCCACCCTAAGGAGCTTCCTGTCTCCAAGTCACCTCTCTCTAGCTTGCAGGATTTGAGCTGAGCAAAACACAGACTTCCATCAGTCGGGAAGCGAAGCAAAAGAGAGCGGGGAGAGTCAATGTTACCGCATACGTCTCCCCGCAGGGACTGAGCAATGTGTTCCACAAATATGACGAAAAAGCAGAAATATACAGGTAGGTTCATGTGCCCATGCAGATTCTTATGCAGATGAAGAAGAAGAGGAGAACTCAAGTCTAGCTCTACCTCCAAGAGTCATCAGCACTCTGTTGAGCAAAACGGGTGGTGGAAAATGAGTTTTCTGGACATGCTTGAGGCGGGTAGAAAAAGGAAATCTTATGCCAAGAGGGTGAGGGAAAGGTGGAGGTGGGGAACCGATCACAATGATCTACATATAACTCCTTCCTAGGGGGGTGGACAACAGAAATGTGGGTGAAGGGAGACAGCGGTCGGTGTGAGACATGGGGGGAAAAACTGACAAATTAGCAGGGGCTCATGAGGGAGGGAGGGGTTGGAGGGGGGAACATGAGGAGCTGATACCAAGGGCTCAAGTAGAAAGAAAATGTTTTGAAAATGGTGATGGCAGCGTATGTACGAATGTGCTTGACACCATGGATGGATGCATGGATTGTGATAAGAGCTGTACGAGCTCCCATTAAAGTGATTTTAGAAAGGAAAAGGAACACGTGTTCTGATGTTTCCATGTCCTGGTTTTCTTTTAGCTTTGGCATCGTCCTCTGGGAAATCGCCACTGGGAACATCCCATTTGAAGGTGACAAGTGTCTAGGCTGGGGCAGATGATGCTGGCAAGGGTTGGGGCTCTTTCTGATGAACTGGTCACTCCTCCCTGGGGCTTTCTGGGAGCTTTGTTTTTTAATGTGGGCACTGCCCGAGCCAGCCAGAGGAGTCCCTGGAAGCTCAGTAGCTTTCCCAACGCTGAAAGTCCCTCGTCCTGATGCCAGCGAGGTTTTTATGCCTTTCATCCTATTATTTCCACGCCAGGCTGGGAGTCTAGGAGGATCCAAGAGATGGCAAAGGCAGAAGGGTACCAAGAGCCACTGGGTGAAAATTGCCCTCCATTGCTGCAGGAGACCATCAATCAGTGCCGGGCCTATGAGCCCTCCGAGCGGCCCTCTGTGAAGGGTAAGCCTCTCTCTCCTCTCTCCACATCCTAGTTCCCAGGAGAGTCCTCAGATGGTGGGTCACATCCAGGAGTGATTTGCCCCCAGGGGTCATTTGGCAACGTCTGAAGAGATTTGGGGTCGTTATAGCTGGGTGTGGGGATAAATGATGGGTCTAGTGGTTAGAGGCCAGAAATGTTACTGGATACCCTACAATGCACAGGCCCCGCCAACATCCCCCAAAATAAAACACTAAGAATGATCCACCCCTAAATGGCAATACCTGGTGGTGCAGTAGGTTAAATTAAGCATTGCCCTGCTAACCGAAAGGTCATCAGTTCAAACCCAGCAGTCACTCCAAAGGAGAAAGATGAGGCCATCTGCTCCCATAAAGATTTACAGTCTCAGAAACCCTCTGGACCAGGTCTGCTCTGTCCTATCGGATCACTATGAGCCGGAAGTGACCAGCCAGTAAGTAGGTAAATGTCAGTAGGGAAGGAGTTGAGAAAACCTGCTCTCTGGGCATTAAACAACTCCTCCTCCTCCTCCTCCTCACTTTTATTGAACTGATTTTCACTCATAAAGACTGACCCCTTAGGATTTCTGAGACTATATATCTAAGGCATTGCTTAGGTCAAAGTGAGTTGGGGAAGGGGGATTGCTTTTCTCCAGCCTGTTTTTCTCCTTTTTTTCCCCAGCCTGTTTTTCTCCTTTTTTTCCCCTGACTCCCTCCCACTCTCCCTCATTCTCTCCCCAACCTCACGCTCCACACCTTCCTCTTGTCCTCCATCTCTGTCTTTTTCAGCATCCTTGGAACACCTTTTACAACTCAGTCTTTTTACTTCATTGTCAGTTGCTTCTCTATAGCTTTTTCTCCCTCTTCCTCCCTAGGAGCATGCGTCCCCTTTCTCACTTTAGACCCAGATCTCCCATCAGCGTTTCCAAAGTACCAGACAGACAAGGGTGTGGGTCGCATGCACCATCACTGGATTAGAGAAGTGTTTCCACTGAAGACTCTACAGAGTTCAAAGGCATATTTTTCTCTAATTTTGTTGTGATAGGTTTCAGATGACACAAGTGTATGCAATACACATGTAGCTTTAAAAATTGTCGTCAAATGACATCACACATTCACCCCTTGGTTAAGGAATATGACCCTGCCACTAACTCAGAAACCAAGGAGTCCCTGGCTTCTCACATTTCCTCCTCTTCCCCCAAGATCAACACTACCTTAATTTTTTTTTAACTAGTAAATAGTGTATTTTTGGCACAAACTTAAATCTCAAGTTTCATAAGGTTAAGCAAGCAAGATGTCCTCAGAGTCTATGATAATAGAACACTGAGATGAACTTTTGACTTTTATCAGAACTGAACTTTTCAAGTTATTTTAAAAGCTACTTTATTTTTGGTTTCCCTTATTATTATTATTTTTTAACCAAAGTGAAATATATTTTTAAAAATTTTATTATTGTGAATTAGATGGTGGGTGGATTACATTTCGCACCATCAATTTTGTGTTCACCAGTTTGTTACTTTTCACCCCTCCCCCCAGTCAGGACCTTACCCTCGCCCTCCTTAGATTTCCCTTCTCCCTCTTATGAGTTAGAAACCCTCTCCACCTAAGTAAATACTTGTCAACTCTCTGGTCTATTGCTTCTTCTGCCCTCCCTTCCCCTCCTCGCTCCCTTGGTAACCGCCAAAGTCTGTCCCCTGGGGACGAAAAGTCTGTCTTCTAACAGTGGACTCTGGGGTCTTAAAAGCTTGAAGGTAAACAAGTGGCCATCTAGCTCAGAAGCAACAAAGCCCACATGGAAGAAACATGCCAGCCTGTGCAATCACGAGGTGTCGAAGGGATCAGGTATCAGGCATCATCAGAACAAAAAATCTTATCATAGTGACTGATGGGGGGAGTACAGAGCGGAGACCCAAGACCCTCTGTGGGCACCTGGACATCCCCTTACAGAAGAGTCTTGTGGAGGAGATGAGCCAGTCAGCGTGCAGTGTAGCAGCAGTGAAACAAACAACTTTTATCTAGTTCCTAAATGCTTCCCCCCGCCCCCACTATCATGATCCCAATTCTACCTTACAAGTCTGGCTAGACCAGAGGATGTACACTGGTACAGATAGGAACTGGAAACACAGGGAATCCAGGGCAGATGATCCCTTCAGGACCAGTGGTGAGAGTGGCAATACCTGGAGGGTGGAGGGAAGGTCAGGTAGAAAGGGGGAACCGATTAGAAGGATCTACATATAACCTCCTCCCTGGGGGATGGACAACAGAAAAGTGGGTGAAGGGAGACGTCGGACAGTGTAAGATATGACAAAATAATAATTTATAAATTATCAAGGGTTCATGAGAGAAGGGGGAGTGGAGAGGGAGGCGGAGAAAATGAGGAGCTGATGCCAGGGGCTTAAGTGGAGAGGAAATGTTTTGAGAATGATGAGGGCAAAGAATGTACAAATGTGCTTTACACAATTGATGTAGGTATGGATTGTGATAAGAGTTGTATGAGCCCCCAATAAATGATTAAAAAAATAGTGGGCTCGTACAATATTTGTCCTTTTACAGCTGACTAATTTCACTCAACATCATGACCTCCAGGTCCATCCACGCCACCAGATGTGTGGTGGTTTCATCATTTGTTTTTCAGTGAGGTGTACTATTCCACTGTATGGACCCAAGGTTCTTTCTCCATTCTTGACTGACGGTCCTTTGGGCTGTTTCCATCTTCTTGCTCTCATGGACAGAGCTCCGATGGACATGGGTGTGCATACGTGTGTTCACGCGATGGCTCTTACTTCCAACAGAGATAGTTTGGTGGTCTGGAATCTCTAGTCCCTGTTGTTTGCGCTAACGCCGCATCCTTTTCCACAGTGGCTGCTCATCTTTGCAGTCCTACCAGCAGGGCGAGTCTTCCAATCTCTCTCTGCACCCTCTCCAGCGTTTGTTGGTTTCTTCTTTCTTGCTCTCTTTTTAAATTTGATTCTCATTGTCGGTGTATGGTGGTATCTCCTCGCTTTGATTTACACCTCCCGGGTGGCTAATCATCATGAGCGTCTTTTCATGTTTGTTAGCCATTTAGATGCCATTCTTTTTTGCTTTTTTTTCAGTTAATCATTTTAGTGGGAGCTCTTACAGATATTATAACATTCCATGGTTCAATTAGATCATGCATAATTGTAGAATTGGTACCACAATCGGTTTCCAAACAATTCCTTTCTTCTTGATCTCTTTGATTTCAGCGCCCCTTTATCCCCTCCCTCCCCCACCCTACCCAAGAACCCTTATTATTCTGATATTTTATTATTATCATGTGTTGTTGTTGAGCCATATCGCACCCCATCGCCTACAATTCTGTTGTTTGCTCCCCTTGAGTGGGGTTGCCATCTATTAGGAACTGTTTATTCATGTCCTTTTCCCATTTAAAAATATTGGCCTATTGATCTCTTTCTTGTGCTATTTCAGTTTTCTAAAGGTTATAGAGACTAGTCCATAGTCCACTGTCATTGTCAATATTATTTTCCCCGAAGTCTATGGGTTCTTTTTAACTCTTTTGATGAAGTCGTCATCTCTGTCATTTATCTTGTCTTCTCCGGTGTGTGCTTCCTTCATTATGTGTGATAGTATATCTAGACCCTGCAATAGGGCCCTGAAGTGGGTCCCTGTTTTCTCATTGATGATCTTCATAGCTCTGAGATTTACATTTAGGTCTTTGGCCCATCTTGAATTCATTCTGGGGGTGAGATATGGGTCCTATTGCCTTCTTCTGCAGATGGAGATCCAGTTTTGCTAGCACCATATGTTGAAGAAAGAATCTTTTCCATTTAATTTTTTGAGGGGCTTTGGGGTCACTGTAAGTCAGCATCAATCTGATGGCAGTGAATTTTTGTCTAAGATCAATTATCTATAGGTCGATAAATTTATTTCTGGTTTTTCTACTCTGTCCCATTAGTCATTAGTCTATGTACCCATCATTGTACCAATCATTGTCTGACTGTTTTGACCACTGTGGCTATATAATAGGTTTTGAAGTCGGGAAGTGAGAGGCCTCCTATTTTGTTTTTCTTTTTTAATAAATCATTTTATTGGGGGCTCTTGCAACATTCCTTACTTCAATTGTATCAAACATATTTGTACATACGTTGCTATCATCATTTTTTAAACCTTTATTTTCTATTTGAGCCCTTGGTGTCAGCTCCTCTTTTTTCCCCCTTCGTGCCACCCTCCTGACCCCTTGAGAAATTATATATTATTATTTTCATATATGACACAACCTCTGTCTTCCTTCACCCACATTTCTGTTGTTCATCCCCCTGGAGGGGATTATGCATCGATCTTGAAATCGGTTTCCCTTTCTTCCCCTCCCATGCACATCTTCCCCCTACCCTCCTGGTATCACTACTCCCATTTCTGTTCCTGAGGGCTTTATCTGACCTGAATTCCGTGTGTCCTGAGCTCTTATCTGTACCAGTGTACATGCTCCAGTCTAGCCAGAACTGAAAGGCAGGACTGGAGTCATGATAGTGTGGGTTGAGGAAGCCTCAAAGAACCAGAGGAATATTGTGTTTCATTGGTGCTATTCAGCTCCCTGGTTGACTCATCCCTTTCTTGTGACCCTTCTGTTAGGGGATGTCCTATTGTCTACAGATGGGTTTGGGTCTCTGCTCCACTCCGACCTCCCTCGTTTGTTTTGGGGCTTCTGGTTTGGGGTCTTCTGGTGCCTGTTACCTGAATCAGTTGACACCTCATGATCGCACAGGCTGGTGTGTTTCTTCCATGTAGGCTAGTTGCTTATCTGCTAGATGGCCGCTTGTTTAACTGCAAACCTTTAAGACCTCAGATGCTATATAGTTACTTCTTCTTAAGAAACTGTTTGCTTATCCTGGATTCTTCCCTCTCCAAACAAAGTTAGTAATTAGTTTTTCTATTTCTTTAAAGAACGCAGTTGGGATCTAGATTAGAATTGTGTTCTATTTATAGATGGTTTTGGGTAGCATTGACATTTTCATAATGTTCAGTCTTCCTATCCATGAACGCAGACTGTGCTTCCATTTATATAAGTCTCTGTTGGACTCTGGTAATAGTATTCTAACACTCCCTTAACTTGTGTGGCAGAAAGTTACTTACAGTTCTACCACCCAAGTATCCTACGTTACTGTATTTCTCATGTACAAAGACTTTATATCAATTATAGAATGCTATATTCTACCCTGACTTGCTTTGTTTGCTCAACATTATGATTTGGAATTGATCCACGTTGATGTGGTCGCTTCAACCCCTTCCTTTTCACTGCTGTGCGTGTTGTTGTTGTCATTGTTGTTGTGTTGTTGCTAGGTGCCTACTCACAGCATCCCTCTGTACAACAGGACAAACCATTGCCTAGTCCTGCACCATCCTCACCATTGTTAGGTTTGAGCCCATTGTTTCAGCCACTGGGCCAAGGCACTGCTGTACACTAGTCCCTTAGATCCAATCTTCTGTTGATGGACATGTAGGTTACCACAGAACTTGATTCCTAGGAGGCATACTCCTTTCAACATCTGGGTGTGTGGGATATAAAAAGACTTTCTTCAGCTTCTCCCCCAAATATATATGTCAGACCTAGGACACTGCTTGCAACTAATGGTAAATGATTGTCAAGTTATCTCCCTGAAGGCACCAGCCATCCAGAGCAAGCAGACCCTATTGTCCGTCTCACCACAGGTGGCGCTAACTGGCTACTGTTAGGGAAAGTGGATTGCTTTCCTTGAAGGGCTCAAAATAAATCTTGTCTCTAGCTCAAGGACAATCAAGGTTAACTGCCATCATGAATCTAGGATCCGCCCATCTTGCCAGATGTATGCCTGTAATCCCCTCTCTTCCTATAGCGTGTACACCCCTAGATCGTCCCCCTCCCATTACTGTATTACCTATAGTACAACCCCTTCCTGTGACGTATGTATTTACCTGTAATTAGAGGTCCTGCACGCCCCCAAAAGATATATAAGCCTGGTTCGAAATAAATCTCTTTCTCTCCTGCCCTCTCTGCCCACGCTGTGCGTGGACCTGGCTGTTGAGATCATGGCCCTCCAGGAGGTGAGCATGCTACCATGAAATGTGTCTGACTCCTTTATTTTACCTTTTTTTTCTATCTCTATTACTCTCTATGACTTTAGTATAATCTTTATATATATTTTAACCGTTCAATTGAGCCTACCAAACCCATGATTAGTTGTGGGGGGCTGATTTTCCCCCAGAGGAGTGCACATCTCTTGGAACATCAGTCTAAGGACTTGTGAGGTTACACGCTTGGGTGTGAAGCTCACTGACTATAGGGGGAGAGAGCAAGTAAAGAGACAAGCTTCCAGCCCATTTCAGGATGCTCTCCGCACATGTCCTCAATACTTACGGAAGTCTCTGGCACAAGGCCTTTCTTCTTCAACGCCTTCTCACAGTGATCCATTGGGAAACAGACACCCTAATCCCTACTTTTACAAGTGGAACATTCAAATCACAGTAGAGATGCTCATTGAAACTTTCCTCTTCACTGCAGAGCTGAAGTACAAACTCAACTGCACCTCCTGGAGAATCAGGTTGTAGGAGAGAGGAGGCACTGAGAATGTTTTATTTAGTGCCTTCTTCTACACTCTCTTTTGTCTCTTTCCTCTCTCTTCCAGGCTCCTTTACAGTCCAACGCCTCCTGGTATTAAGCAAATCTAGTACCATAAACTCACTCGTACTCACACTAAGATGTGGGTTTATCCCTACCCTTGCCACCAGGTATTGTGTTTTGAAGATTGCCGGAGTGAGAGGGGAACTTCCTAATACAAAGACAGGAGTGAAGATGGTGGGATTTTAGGCACCAGTCAGACTAGAGGGAATGTTGTCTCCACAGAATAGGGAATACAGAATTTGTATTTCTAGTTTGATTCTTCGCTCCCTGCTTGCATTTAATTTTTTGTTTCTTTGTTCACAGAAATCGTAATGAAACTATCTGCCATTGAGTAGTGCCTTGGACTCTAAGCCAGCAAGTCTTTGGATAAGAAGCTGAGAGAGGCATCGCTCTCTTATCTGCTTTTGCAATGAATTATTCCTTCTGCTGGAAGGCAGCACTTCACTCCCGATAGAAAACAAACCCAGCCACCCAGCACATCCTTCTCCAAATAGTATTTCCAAAACTGTATCTCTGATGGTAATTTTGGTAGATGTTTTGCAAATATCTCTCAGTATCCACACACCTCTCGACAGTGTGGCTTTGTAGCCCTCTTCTACCAAGACGTGGCGTTTACCCACCCACCCCCATTTGAACTGAAGTTGGCATTGCCGTTTGTTTAGGCAAGTACCATGTGAAGAATTGCTGATGTGCCAATTCTGAGCCAAGCTTCAAGAGACCTTACCAACACTCCATCTCTTTCTCAGGAGCCTCCCCAGGCATGAATGAGCCTGGCTGACATGCTGGAGGGTGAGAGACAAAGTGGGACAAACCGGCTCAGTGACATCCAAAGTTAGGCTGCCATCCTGAATCTAGGATTTCCCATCTTGTCACATGTGTACCCCCAGTCCCTCCCCTTCATGTTGGGTGTATACCCCTAGATCGCCCCCCCCCATTACTCTATTACCTATAGTACAACCCCTTCCTGTGACATATGTAATCCGGGGGCTTGCCTATCCCCAAAGATATAAAAACCTGGGTTAGTAATAAATCGTGCTCCCTCTCTCCTGCTCTCTGCCCGTGCTGTGCGTGGACCTGGCTATTGAAATCATGTCTGTCCAGGAGGTGAGCATGCTACCATGAAATGTGTCTGACTTCTTTATTTTACCCTCTCTCCTCTCTCTATTATGCTCTATGACTTTACTATTATTATACTTTTACTGTAATCTTTATATATCTTAACCGTACAATTGTGCCTATCGAACCCTTGATTAGTTGTGGGGGGCTGACTTCCCCCACAAGTGACAAAGTGGGACAGGGCCCAGCCATCCCAGCTGAGGGTACACGCAGCAGCTAATCTGTAGTCGCATGAGTGATCTCAGTCAAAACCAGAACCATTCAACTGAGCCTAGCCCAACTGGACCATCCACAAAATCATGAGATAAATAAATTAGTATTGTCTTTGACCACTATGTTTTGGGGGTGGTGGTAGGTATAATGAAAGTAACAGAGTGCTATGAGTTGAAATGTGTCCCCCCAAATTGTGTTGTAAATTATAACTCCTTACGAGTGGAAGTCATCCCATTGGGGAATAGAGTTTTCTTTGGTATGCTAATGAGGCCATGCCAGTGCAGGGTGTATCTTAAATCAATAACCTTTGAGATCTAAAAGGAACAGATTAGGCAAAAAAGAAACAAAAAAAAAACCCCAAAATGGGGCGAGATTGACGATGCAGGCAGATCACCAACAAGCCAAAGAAGAGAGACGAAAAGAGACAAGGATTTTTCACTATAGTACACAGCACCTTCCTCCTAGAGCCAGCGCCTTGAAGTCTGACTCGGAGAACAAAGGCCTGGTGGAGTGCGGGTTACGTTTTGTGTTGCCAACAAGGTCAGCAGCTTGAAACCGGGTGAGGCTTTCTGCTCCTTCTGCTCCTGCACAGATTTACAACCCGAGAAACCCCCAGGAGCAGTTTACGCTGCCCTAGAGGGTTACTATGAGTAAGAATCGGCCCAATGGCAGTGAGTCAATCGATGATAGAATGAAGGTCTGGTTTTCACAGCCACCCACTTATGGTACCTCTACTTTAGAAGCAGTAAGAAACTAAACCACTGTGTAAATGTGGTTCAAGCCCTCCCCCTGCCAACCAAAGGACATACAATGGCCTCCACTTGGACATCCAAGGGTTTGTGTGAGTATCTGAAATTCCAGGGTTTCCCTAGCTTGCAAACTGCAATGCTTCTTGGGTCTATGGAGAAACCTTAATGAGTGAGTTGGGCCTGGAGGGGAGGAGCCTTAATGAGTGAGCTGGGCCTGGAGGGGCTTCAGCGAATACACAGGTTTCTTAGCCAGCCTCTGCTCAGCTCCAGCCTATTTTTATCACGCAGAAATGGGATCCAGTGTGTCCAAGCTTTATATTTTATTAAGAGAACCACAAACACGAGAAATTCAGATTTTCTTGTGAATTTTCTATATCTTTAAAGGCTGGCAGATCATTAACAAAAGTAGATTTGATTGCCTTGCAAGACAAAACACAAAGCTATTGTGTTTTATGATATGGATTGGTTCCGGAGCTGCTTGTTTTGAATCCCCAGCAGACACGTGCTGTGGCCTGAGTGTTCCTGATTGGCATGCCTTTGCTCACGGCGTATTCCTTGCCTAGGACACACAGACCTCTACTTGCCAAGGTTGCATTTTAACCCAGAATGCATCCCCAATCCCTCAAGAGCAAATTTGCCTGGCACAGTTCCAATTACTGAGAAGACTCCAGTAAACAAAATCAGTTTGGGGCTTGGATTCTAGTCATCTTCTCTGGGAAGCAAAATGGTCAATTTCTGTCTTTTTTTATCTTCCAATTATATATATATTATTTCTTACTTTTATTGGGGGCTCTTACATCTCTTATCACAATCCACACATTCATCCTGTGTGTCGAGCACATTTGCACATATGCTGCCATCATCATGTTCAAAGCATTCTCTTCCCACTTGAGCCCGATATTGACTCCCCATTTCTTCCCCCTCCCCCCTCCATCACTTGCCCTCCCTTACAAACCCTTGATAAGTTATAGATTTATTATTTTCATATCTTATATCGTCCTCCATCGCCCCTCACCCACTTTTCCATTATTCATCCCCCTGGGAGGAAGTTCTAGGTTGATCCTTGTGATCAATTCCCGCTTTCTTCCCCCACCCTCCCCTAATCATCCTGGTATCTCCACTCTCATTGTTGGCCCTGAGGAGTTTATCTGTCCTGGATTCCCTGTGTTGTGGGCTCTTGTCTGTAACCATGTGCATGTTCTGGTCTAATTCGATTTGTAAGGTCAAATTGCGGTCATGATAGTGGAGGGAAGGAAGCACCAAAGAACTAGAAGAAAGTGTATGTTTCATCAGTGCTATACTGACCCTGGGTGGCTCACTCTTCTCTGTGAACCCTCGGTGAGGGATGTCCAATTGTCTACAGATGGACATTGAGTCTCCACTCCATTCCGCTCCCCTGCCCCCCATTCACATTGTGTATGATTTTGCTCTGGGTCTTAGATGCCTGATAGCTGATCCCATCGACACCTCATGATCACACATAGCCTAGAACATTTTTGGGTTTTTCTTCCCACCAATAAATAAAAAATAATGCAGAAGAATAAGCACAGGACATTTAAGATATTTCTTTTCTAGAGTTTTTCATTCAAACAAACGAAACAAAGTTGGACCCAATTCATAGTGACTTTATAGGACAAGGTAGAACTGGCCCTGTGACTTTCTAAGACTGTTACTCTTTATGGGAGTAGAAAGCCTCTTTCTCCTGTGGAGCAGCCGACCTGTGGATAGTAGCCCAATGGGTAACCCACTATGTCACCAGGGCTTATTATCAGATACCCCTAGGTAGTTTCACTTTTAAATTCTTTTGTTCCCTTTGCTTGTGGGAGTTTGTGCCAGTTACATGATCTACTGTCAACTTGAGTAAAGGGGTGGAGTCTAGGCTGTCAATCAGGTCATAGCCAATCATGCCTCTGTGAACATGGCCTTCTCCGAAGGATCCTGTGTTCCTCCCTGGACACACACTCTCTCTGCATCACATTCCTGTTGAGGAGCCACATGGAGCCATGCTGATGACAACAGGAGCCCTAGAACGGAAGAAGCCATGTGGAGACCCACACCAGCACTGATATGCTTCCACCACCCACCACTGCATCTATAAGACTTTCCACCCACTGGCCTGTGATCTTCCTGCATTCGGCTTCGTTGTATGGCTGCGTGAGTCTAAAGAGGAATTTATGGATTAGTATCGGACATATGGACTTGATCTGGACTGTCCTGGGATGTTTATTAATATACAATGGCTCTTTGATATAAAGAGCAAAGTCAACCCAGACTAACCCAGAGCTACAATGAAAATGTTCCCTTGTAGGTTAATTATTCATATTTTGGGCAGAGGTGGATTTATGGTGAAGCTACTAAAGCTTAGTTTTTAAGGTTGATCACTTAGCACAGGGCACCCTTGAAAATGCTGTACCAAATTTCCCCAACATTTACTTAGGAACATATTTCAAATGCACAGAAACGCCGATAGAGGTGATTGTACTCTCAGTGCCTATAGACACCCCCACTTAAATTCTAAAATAGGTACCTATATAAATGAAAAAGTGACCCACTGCCATCCTGTGGATTCCCACTCAGAGAAACCCCATCGGACTGAGTAGACTGTTCCTTAGGAGTTCCTGGGTTGTCAGTCTCTCGAGGGGAGCAGAAAGCCTTGTCTTTTTCCCACAGAGCAGCTGGTGGGTTAGAATCGCTGACCTTGCAATCAGCGTCAAAGTGGAACTTACTATGGCACCATCTCCTTTGGGCCCACAGATACCCACCACCTAAGTCTTACAACTAACATTTTATTGTATTGACTTTTATTTACCACCTACCCATGCCTCTTTCTATCCATTATCCCATCATAGTTTTTTATGGATTTCAAAGAAAATCACACAGCTCTCCCACATTTGTCCCAAGACCCTTCTGTGCCCTCTGACATCAGTGGTATCTGGAAACTGATCAGCAGTGACAACTTCTTGGTGGTCCTTGGTATGACCCTGCCACTCAAGTTAGCCCAGCTGCTGAGGCCTTAGGAGAGTGATTGGGTACCGTGGGGATTCTTTTACTTTCCACACCTATCAGAGTAAGTTCAAAAGTATTGCTACTGATGTTCCAGTTCCTACATGCACATTGAGTCCAAATAAAATGTGTTTAGATACATATTATGTGTATTTAATGTGATGGTTAGGTTTGTGTCCTCTTGGGTGGGCCAAGATTCCCAGAGGTTTGGCAGTTAATTTCTAGTAATAGGATAATGACAAGGAGGAGGATCCTTGATGAGATGGATTGACATGGACTGCAACAATGCGCTTGAGGCATGACAACAATTGTGAGGATGGTGCAGAACCAGGTGGTGTTTTTTTTTTTCCCTGTGGTGCATAGGGTCCCTCTGAGTTGGACCCAACTTGATGGCACGTAAAAATACAAACAATCACCCAATATGTGACTTAATATAATGTAATCAACTCCATAGTAGGATCGGTGGTGAGCAGCCTATCAGTTGTAAGAAGATTGGAACAGGCTGCAATCCCCTTACTCAGATCACAGTCATGGTGCAATTTAAAAGAATTTTCCTCAGGGATGTTGTCATGAGCGGCGCGATCAATAATTACTTAACGCTCTTAGACATTTTCGAATGCTCGATTTATTCACTGCAAACACACATCAAACAATCTAAAATATTATTCAAACTATTAAGGGCAAACAACTATAAGCATAAGGGCAGAGTAACAACTATGAGCATAAAGGCATAATAATAACACTTCTCACACATTTCATATTAGCACCATAGTCCCAATCAGCATTGCCTCATTGGTGTACTCACCCCAGGTAGAGTTGGAAAGAGCAGGAGATGATGTCTCCTTGGTTCCTAGCTCTCTAAAGGTCAGTGTCTCTACCTGGGTTTAAATGGACATTTTGGCCAGTTCTTTGACGTTCTCACTGTCCCAGTCAAGTATTATCGGGTTTCTCCAGGCTTTAGGTGGCTTGGCTAATTTTTGGGCTTCGGCCAGGTCTCAGCTCAGTCTTATCAGGGGTCTCACATTTTTATGGTGGCTTCTTTGATGTAAGTGTTGGCCTGGGTCCCAATATTACATATATATATATATATATATATATATTTTTTTTTAAGTGGAGTTTCTTGTGCTTGTTTATTTGATGTGGCTCCACGTTTTGCAAAGTAGTTCAATGTCTTGTAAGGTAGTTCAACATCTTGCAAGGAAGTTTTATGGTGCTCTCATCAGATGTGGACTATTTCCTATATAAGTGGACACTGTGGAAAAGTTGTCTTGCTTTATTCTGGGTCTGAATTCTGCACCTGGCTAATCAATCTCGGATTCTTTGGACTTAAGCCAACAGCCTGCCATTCCTAGGAAGCGATCAGCGTCCTGCCGTCTGATCTGTTATCTCACCCACTAACTTTGGATTCACTCAATCTATCGAGTCACAAGCCTGGCTTGCTGACCTTGGATTCATCTGCTTCTGTAGCCACAAGCTTGTGGTGTTTCTGCCAACATTGGGTTCATCAGCCTTTAAAGCTACAAAAGTCAGGAGAAGCCTCCAGCTTAACATCTGACTCGTGACGTGGAACCTGCCTGGGCTCAAATGGGACTTGCCTGCTTCTACAACTGTGAGCCATTTTCTTGATATAACTTTGTATGTATATCTCTTCATATTATATTTCTTGTTTGCAATCCACTTAGAAATAATCTTATATTGTTTTGCATAAAATATATATTTTCAACTATACGGGGGTCCATTGGTCCTCCTATCCTTTATACTATAATTTTCATGCATGTCACATTGCATACATTATAAAGTCCGCCATACGATGCTAGAATTTTTTCTGTTAGCATCTCTTTTAAGAAAAATAAAATATTATATTTACCATGTTGGTGTTCTTCATTCCCCCCTGGAGTTTTTAACTTGTATAATTTCTCCCAACCCAAAATTTTATCCAAGAATTTATTGTCGTGTAGTTCTATGGCACCTCTCTGCATTGTTTAATTTTTCTGCGTTGACTATACATTACTTAAATAAGAAGTGAGAATCACTAAAAAATTCAGTCTACTATGTAATATATTCATGCATCTTAGCCATTCTATAGATCAGCAGCAGGCAATGTGCTTGAGTTTTGTTTTTTAGGTCTTCTTCCTGAAAGGGGAGTGTGGCTTTGTGGAGTAGGCTTGGGGCTATTAACCACAAGTTTGGTGGTTCAAACCCACAAGCCTAAGCCTCAGAGAGGCGGAGGGAGGAAGGTTGGGAGGGAGATTGTCCTCATAAAGATTTAGAGTTTCAGAAACTCGATGGCAGTGAGTTTGGCTTTTGTTTTTTCCTAAAATTACGATTTCGTCACGTTCTCAACGAGGCGTGTGTGTGTGTGTGTGTGTGTGAAAAGTTTGCTGTTAAGTGCTATGACTTTAGCAGGCAATTCATTGCAATGGTCTGGGACCGAAGGGACCCTGTAGGTAAATTATTTTCCCTGAGCTCCGCACCCCCATACAGGTATCGTGGAGTGTCCCATTATCTTCAGAATCTTAAGGACAATATATTTTTTTTTTTTTAAGGACAATATTTGAAATTATTCATCTAGTTACTGTCCTTTGGATAAAGATAACTCTTTCACTAACATGTTGGGGAGAAGAAGCACGAGGCCGTTTTAATATTTCCATTCTAGAATCTAGATTAGCCCACAATACGCAGAGAAAGTGTTTTTTCCTTATAACTTTCTCCCGCCAGGAGTTCAAAAGAGAGAGAGAAAAACAAAAGGGCGGTAAGAAACTTTCCGCTCTTTTCTCTGATTGGACGTGACGTAACAGAGACGTTCACCAATTGCCTCAGGCCTCCTTGAACATGATCCCGCCTAACTTGTTTCTGAAGACCTAGCCAATGGGAGCGCTTCTCTTTCAGTCAGCGGCGACCAGCGGAAGAAAAAGAGAAGGCATTGGCTAGCGACTGGTGACTGCTGACCAATAGGAGGAGACCGGCTTGGAGGCGCCGCCGCCGAGGCGATTTAGCCGCTTATGGAGGTCAGACTTACCGTCAGACTTCTGCTGAAGTGCCCGCTGCCACCGCGCAGGCTCCCCTGCTCCCTCGCGTCCTTCCGGCGTCAGGTGAGGTGGACGCTCGCTCTCCCCTGGCCTTAGGCTTCTAGCGCCGGTGTGACTTCCCGGTCTCGGCCCCTGCATTTAAGGGCCTAGCACTGTGCCGTGAGCTCGGCTGCGTGTGGGCGTAGAACCCGGCAGCCCGCGGAGGTTCGGCCACTCTCCGCGACCCAAGCGATGGAGGCGGCGGCGCCCGAATCCCCACTCTTTGGAGGCTGCTGGGCAGGCACCCAAGATTGGCGGGAAGGTTGGAACTGCTGGCGATCCCGGAAAGTGCCGAATACTTCAGACTTCAGGGCTCGCAGCCGGGCTTCAGGCCCTTCATTGGCAGTTCGAAGCAACTTGATTTTAAATGACACGTACTTTTACGGGCGGCCACTGTAATACTTTCATTATCCTTATTTCGTTGAATAAATTGAGATTAGGACGCCCGCCGAAGGGCCCTCGGCTAGAAAGCCCGAGAGCAGGGATTTGAACCGAGGTCCGCTAGCCTCACGCCGCCTCTTAGATTCCCGACAGCCGGCCGATCGTGGGCCTCGATTGAAATCCGAGTGACCGAGCGGTGTAAGCGCCAAGATTTGTGGAGGAAGGTCGCTTTTTGTACCGCAGCTTACATAGTACCCATAGGAAAGAGCGTTTCTCTGGCGTGCTGAAGAGAAGGATGCCTGAGGTCAGGGCTGGGCAACCCCTCGTCTCCATCCAGGCTCCCTGCCCTGCGGGAGTCCCAAGGGTTGGAAGAAGACGAATCTCTTCACGGTGTTGGGAATCTGGTCCAGAACAGCGATAGTCCATCGAATTTTCTGCGATGACAGTAATGTTCCCCCACCCCCACCCCCATATCTTAGTGCTTTATTCTGTACAGTAGTCACTAGACAGGAGCAGCTAAATGTGAGGCTTTGGAAACTCAGTGATTTTATTAATGAAATCCAGAAAGCTTGTAGCTACTATTGTGGGCAGAATCTGTGGATTCCCCTTATTTGTTTATTTATTTTGGTCCCATCGCCCCTTGTTTTCTAGAAGGTTAATTTGCTTTTTGCGAATCGCAAGGGATACCTCTAGCTTTATTCTGTGAGCCACAGATTTCCAAGGAGGCTATCTTTGTGCAAGCACAGACGTAAAAAGCTCTACTTTAACATGAATTCAGAGAAGTACTGAAGAACTAAGGAATTGATGAGATTTTGGAAGAGTAATTCCTTGTTGGCAAGTCTTTAAAATCGCTGGGTCTTTCTGTAGAGCTGTAACTATTCTAGTTTCAGTGACCCAGTATATATAGCACCTGCTGTTTTTTGTGTGGGTGTGTGGGGGAGGTGGTTGTTTATTTATTTTTAGCTGTGTGGTGAATAATTCAGTTTTTGTACCTGCTAATGGGCTTGTCTCAAGAAACTCTGGTGGCACATTGGGTTAGGCACTGGGCAGCTAATCACAAGGTCAGTGGTTCAAATGCATCAGCCAGTCTGCAAGAAAATGATGAGGCCATCTGCTCCCATATAGATTTAGTTTCAGAAACCCTACATAGGGTCGTTCTGACTTGGAACTGATGCCATCGCAGTGGGTAACTGGGTTGAGTTTTATGTACTCGATGCTGTGGGATGATACAGCAATGAATCAGACTACATTTATAAGTCCGTCGTAACATGGTTTTGTTCTAAAAATGAAATCATAGAGAATTCTATAAACTCCCCTTTTTTGGGTTCTTTTTTGAAATTATTTAGGGGCAAGGGAATTCACTATGTTAAAGGGACCCTGGTGGTTAAGCGCTCCGCACGAACTGAAAGCTCTAACCATCAGCTGCTCAGAAGAGAAAGATGTGACAATCTGCTCGTTGTCGTCAGGCATCTTCAAGTCCGTTCCAACTCACAGCAACTTCCTGTACAGCAGAAGGAAACAGTTGGTCCTGCACCCTCTCCTCACAATTGTTAGGATTCAGCCCATTGTTGCAGCCACTGGGTCAAGCCTATTCGTCAAGGGTGTTCCTCTTTTTATCCCCGCTCTTCTGTTTTACCAAGCATGATGTCCTCCAGGGACTGGTCTTTCTTGGCAACATGTCTAAACTATGTGAGAGAAAGTCTCTCCATTCTGACTTCTAAGGAGCATTCTGGCTGTACCTCTGAGACAAGATTTGTCTGTTCTTTTGGCAGCCCATGGTATTCTAATATTCTTTGATAGCACCATAATTCACATGCTTTAATTCTTCTTTGGTCTTCCCTTATTCAAAGTCCAACTTTCATAAGCATATGAGGCAATTGAAAATAACCTTGATTTGAGTCAGGCACTACTTAGTCCTCAAAGTGACAACCTTGCTCTTCAACACTTTAACGAGGTTTTGTGCAGCAGATTTACCAATGCAATGTGTTGTTTAATCTCTTGACTGTGATGAACATCACTTGTCTGTCAGTTAGTTGTACTGTTATGGCCTGGGTGTTGCTGTGATGCTGGAAGCTATGTTACTGGTATTTCAAGTACCGCCAGGGTCATACAAGGTGAACAGGTTTCAACAGAGCTTCTAGACCAGCGGTTCTCAACCTGTGGGTTGCCACCCCTTTGGGGGTTCGATTGACCCTTTCACAGGAGTCACCCGATTCATAACAGTAGCAAAATTACAGTTATAAAGTAAGAACAAAAATAATTTTATGGTGGGGGGTCATCACAACATGAGGAACTGTATTAAAGGGTCGCGGCATTAGGAAGGTTGAGAACCACTGTTCTAGACTAAGCCCAAACTATGAAGAAAATAGGCTGTTTCCTTCTGAGGACTTAGACACAGAAAGCCTTATGAATAGCAGCTAAGCAAGTCTGTTTATAAAGAGTAACTACAAAACCAAGCCCACTGCCGTGGAGTTGATTCCAACTCTACAGGACAAGACAGAGTAGAAATCTGTTTCCAAGTTGTATCTTTGTTTTGTTTTTTTGAATCGTTTTATTTGGGGCTCACACGACTTATCACAATCCATACATACATCAATTGTGTAAAGCATATTTGTACATTCATTGCCCTCCAAGTTGTATCTATGTAACTCAGCAGACTGCCTCTCTACTGCAGAGTAGCTGGTGGCTTTGAACCAACGACCTTTCTGTTGGCAGCTCAGAGCTGCGTACTGACTGCACCAGGAGGTTTCTTCTGTGCACTGTTTCTTTCACCAGAAATGTCCCCGCTCTTTAATGGCCAGTGTCTTTTAGTCCTTCAGAGAGGCCTTCCTTCATTATTTTATCTAAGTGGTGGTCCTTGCCCCTGCTTCCAAAACCAAACCATCACAATCTATGATGTTCTCATTTCTTTGTTCAGTTACTGGCTTCCTCTCACTGCATGA